AGTACCTTCCTATGACACACAAGCACAAATATCAACTATAATAGGTCGAGGAGCTCCAAGTGTTAGGCACCGAATTCGTTCCTCTGTAGCTGTGAGCTCACTTTATTCTAATGCAACCTTGTGATCTACGATCTATTCTTCCCATTTCATGAAGACTCAGAAGGTTTCAATAGCTTCCCCAGGTAACAGACAGGAGCAATGTCTACATTGTAAACCAGTCCTGTCTGACTTCAAAAGCTTCACTCTGATTCACTAGGCCTTACACTTATATATTCTACATTCTGTGTAAAGAGCCAAGGGGTTGGGTCACTGGGGGTCACTGAGGATGTTCAGGAAGAGGGAGCGATTTAAATAATTCCATTTCCCACATAAAACAAACTGAGGGCAAGAATCTTCAGGGCCTCGTTCATCCACATTTGTTACCTGACCCAAGGGGAAATGTTAGAATAGCTTTATTACCTCCAGCTGGGGACATGCAGGTGGGGACAGGGGGGTCCTGCTGTGTCTCAACGAGGACTTCTAGACAGGTGGACGGGAGCATGGAGCGAGCCATAGGAACGCATTTCATAGGAACGTCAGCTTTTTACGGGTGATAATAACATGGTATCTCTATCATCCTTCCCTCCTTCCGAATAAGGGCGGGGAGTTGTTTGACTCTCAGCAGTAGACAGAGGCCAGGCCTCACTTGGGAATGTAAACCCCATTCTGCAATCTGAGTAATGTCCTCTCCCATCACACCCTGCGTGAATCTTGGTGACGCCCGACGAGTCACGATTTCTCCTTTCAGCCTGCCTGATTAAAGCCAGTTATCTGTAACATGGGAGCCTTCGAGCTCGCTCCACAGCCCCAGTACAACATTCACCTGAGCCCGGAGGAGACACCCAGGGCTGCCAATGATCCACGGCACCTGTGTGCAAAGTCCTGTAAGCAGACTCGAGGTGACTAACACAACATTAGTGCAGGTTGGGCCAGAGGATGGGGCGGGAGTGGGGGGGTGAGGGAGGGGCTATGCTGTTTCACTGGATTTTTCTTTACTAATTTAACATAAAAGCAAGGCCAGTTTATTGGGGGTGGGGGGGTGGGGCGCAGAACAAAAAAATACATAAAATAAAATATATAAAAAAAAAATAAAAATGTTAAGCTCTCCATTCCCACATCATATATCCAGGGGGTAGGGACTAGTAAGACTAGATGTTGTGTACTCTATACACCGTGAGCTGCTCTTAGCGTCTAACACTCTATCTTGGGATCTGTCCAGCTTCAGCACGCACGCTGCCCCATTGCTGAAATGGCTGCATGGTATTCCACTGGCCAGATGCTCTTGGCTTCACTCCACCAGTTCCCTATTGCTGAGAATTTGGCTGCAGAGAACTTTATTAGTGTGAGTAGTTCTGTTAAAGCAATAGATCCACGGGACGATAAAACCCTTGACAACTCCCATCCAACTGAACTGAAATTCAAATTTCAAAAATAACAATTTAAACAGCTTAGGAATTTTGAACGGCTTTCTTAATTTTAAATCTTTGAATGCTTGTTATTAAATGAGAAAGCTCTCATTATTGCCCCACACACTTATCAGGGAAATGAAACCTTTCCTTTTGCTTGAAGTGTTTTGACAGAATTTCTGAAAACAAGAAAGGAAGGGCCTCTAGGGGAAAGTGAACACACCAGGCATATGAGATTCTGGTGTTCCTCCTTAGGGGTTATTTCCAATCAGTTACTTACCATGCCTGGTAGGTATCAGACAAAACCAGATTGCACCGAAAAGCATGAGCTCTTTGGACTACCTTCCTACAGAGGCCTTTCTTTTATTGAATTATGGTAGTTTCTAGAAAAATCTATAGCAGTCTTTGAAGGTATCTTAAATAGTAGATATCTCAAGATATCTCATATAGTAGCTGATAATCAATAAATAATAAATCAAATAATAAAATTATATTCTTCTCTTACATTGGTCTGTATTTTCAAGGAAGGGCTTTTGTGAAATCTAACAAAACCTGGTGGCTTTCAAGTCATCTTTTACTGCAAACATACCCTCTAGGTGGAAAGATCTACAGCACATGAGAGCCCAAAGTGTTGACACACGTTTCTGAGGCTGGGAGATAACGCTGGGTCAAACGGACCAGGGAGGCATGGTACCAAACACCTGAACTTGGACGGGGCTGCAAATGGACTTTGTGTGTCAGAGACTGCATGGACAGATGCAGCTTGGCTCATTCTTTACATGTGGTGGGTGTTTAATAAATAGGTGCTGAGTAAATGAAGAAACAGTTTTGAAAGGCAACATATTGTCAAGTTTTCTCCTGGTGACAGACCACATTCCTAAGAATGGTGAACAGAAAAAAGGATAAAATCTGGTGCCAAGAAAGAAGTAGAAAGATTATATTTCCAGAATCACTGCCTCTCTGGTTCACTGTAAAGGTGTGAGGCAGTTGAAATAAATCTTCCTATCTGCCCAGTTTTCCTAATTCACCCTTTTGTTCTGCCCGTTCTTGTACCCATGACAATGACTGGTGAGTCTCATATTCTTGCCATGGCTTCTTCCGCCTCTCATACCACCTGCACTCATAACAATCCTAATAAAGTAATTCTCACTAAGGTGTAAATGACTAATATAGTGAACGGGTTCTTTCGTCAGGATTCCTTATTTTTTTAATAAAGGACACTGAAATTAATCATCAGTTTATTAATGCCTCAGGATACTTCTATAGTCACATGGACCTTCCAGTACCTCTGAACTTACCCTGTGCTTCATAATCCCCCCGTGTTTACTCAGACACCAGACTTTGTTCACACCTAGAATTATGCATTGGGCTCCAAATTCTTTCACTGATCCCAAACTATATTCCTTAGCCTTCATCCGAGGAAAGAGGATCATATCAGTATAATTCTAAGCTTTGGCTTCGCCAAACAGAAGTTGTCGTCTACTTTATTGAAAATGGCAAAGTCACAGTGACCGAAAAGAAGTCCCACATAAAGTACAGCCACTAAGAATAGTTAGAAGGCTAAACCAAGGGTAAAAGTTTGAAACACCCTGATTCTCCATGGTATGTTATAAAGCAGTGAAAAATATCTGTGTCCCAGATGCAAACTAGTTAGCGCTTGTTAAGTATAACTATTGTTTGGAGAATTACTTATAGTCAATTATGATACACATATCTGGTCTGGGACGTATATTTTCTAGTGGTTCCTCTGAAGGGATCTGCAAATTAAATTATTTAAATGTGCTTATCATTAGCAGTTGAAATAAATGACATTTATTTTGGCGACATTAATTTTTAACTTGGCAGCTGTTTTCAGACAGATTGTTGTCAGGTTATTACAGTGACTAACTTTGAGAGGAGGAAGACATTTACAGGAGATTATTTTGGTTTTAGACTTTCAGCTCGTATTTCTCCAAAGAGGCAAATGATTTTGTCAATGCCCTGAGATACTGGGTCCTGAAGACATTGCAATGTTTGCATCTTTGTGACCTGATTTCAATAATAACTCCACATGTGGAGAACTAAAAATGTTCTTTAAAAGAGAAATTCTTCAAATATACTGTTCGGAAGCTGTTTTGTGGGTAAGTTGATTTATATAGGAGTACATCATAGAGGAGCGGGGTAATATATTGGTAATCTTCTGAAAAGAGAGTTGGAAGATGCGGGTTCAAGTCTGAACTCTGAGAAGCCCAGTAACTTGGTGTGCACTTGCAAGGGCCTCTGGCCTCAGTTTCCCATCTGCAAGAGGAAGGCATGTGGAGGTGACCACTAAAATACTTTGGTGAAAAGTCCATGCATCTGTGAAGCCAGCGTGGGTAGTGTTAGATCTGGCCCAAGGTTGTGCCGTGGTCTATACAAAGATACGCTGCATAACGTATCTCTTCATCTACTGTACTGAAAACCCACAGTTCCTACATCCCATTTGCCTCCAATTTTAACGCCTCAACTTTCAGCCACGATTCATGACAATAATGTCACCTGACATTGCAGCCATGAGTGGGATAGTAACTCCAAACTATGTTTGATTACTGGCTAGTAAAATGGAAAAGAGGGGGGCTTCCTGGAGAAGGGGACAACTGTCACCATCTACTTAAACACTGCCTGGAATTTATAGGCAAATTGCCACTTTATGATACAAAATAACAAGCCGCAAATCAAATTTCAATGAAACAGCATGATAGGCTACAAAAATAACATGAGGTAGCTACCAACATCCTGTTTTGTTTGCTCTCATTAAAAAGAAACTTCAATAATTAAACTTTGAGCAATGGAGAAATGAGGAAGTCTATTTTTAATCAGAAAAAGATGATCTAAGACAACAAATTGGCTTTCTTTATAAATAAAATTCTCTCCGAATATATATATAAAATATATATGTATATACATATAATTTTTTTGCTAAAAATGTAAACTATAATCAAAATAAAAATTTGTTACCTATTTTTAAGTTTTTATTAAAACGTCAGTAAGTTAACATATAGTGTAATATTAGTCTCAGGTGTACAATACAGTGATTCAACACTTTCATAAGAAATCTATTTTCTGGGGCGCCTGGGTGGCTCAGTGGGTCAAAGCCTCTGCCTTCGGCTCAGGTCATGATCTCGGCGTTCTGAGATCGAGCCCCGCATCGGGCTCTCTGCTGAGCAGAGAGCCTGCTTCCCCCTCCCTCTCTTTCTCTGTCTGCCTCTCTGTCTACTTGTAATCTCTGTCAAATGAATAAATAAAATATTAAAAAAAAAAAAGAAATCTATTTTCTAATAAGAAACAAGAGTAAGTTCAAGAGAATCTAGAAAATGGTCTCAACATTTTTTACAAAGAGGCAATCAGATAAAACAGGTGAATTCATGGAAAAGATTCTCACTTGAGCATCTTATCATTTTAAATTCAAATAATGTTTTTCAGTTCTCCCTTTGGATTACTTAATCATAGGCCCAAAGGCATGTGAGAATTCTCCCACTGTGAGACTCAGGACGAGACATGAGGCACAGTTTTGATACAATGAAGAGGAAGTCATACCTTGAAATCATATGTGGCATCTGGGTTTTCGTCGCAGGCAATGACTTCTGGTGCCATCCAGTAAGGGGTCCCGATGAAGGTATTTCTCCTGCCCACTGTTCGATCAAGCTGGGCACTGACACCAAAGTCCACTATTTAAGAGAAGATAAATGAATAAAGTCTTGGATGCTTATATGGTGAATAAAATGAATGTGCCTTTTTTTTTAACTGCAGCAAAATAAGCATACCACAAAATTCACAATTTTAGTCATTTTTATGGTAATAATTCTGTGTCATTAAATATGTTCGCATTGTTGTGAAACCATCACCACAATGCAATTCCAGAACATTCTCATCTTCCCAAACTGAAACTCTGTATCATTTCAACAATAACCCCCCATTTTCCCCTCTCCCGATTCTTCTTTCTGTCTCTATAAATCTGGAATATTACAGATACCTCATATAAGTGGAGTCATACAGTATTTGCCTTTGTGTGACTAGCTTATTTCAATTAGCGTAATATCCTCAAGGGTTGTCCATGTTGGAACACGGGCCAGCATTTCCTAACTTTTTAAGGTTCAGGAATATTCCATCATATGTACATGCCATGTTGTGTTTATCCACTCATCTGTTGATGGCCGACTTGGGTTGCTTCTTCCCTTTAAATATTGTGAATGTCTATTTTTAAAGTGCATGTATAAATGACTAAAGTATACCAATAAGGAAAGCCCAAAATGTTGTATTTGGTTAAACCAAGGGCCCGTAGGGGCCAAATACAGGTGTTAAATCAAAGGCCAGCTTGTTTGCCATCGAAGAGAATACTTGGGGGATACAAAGAAAGTGGTTAAGAGCCAAGCTTCTGGAGTCAGACTGCTTAAGTTTGCATGCCATTTCTGCCATATACTCGTGATCTGAGCTGAGGCTAGCAGATCAAGATTTAAGCTTCAGTTTCCAAATTTATAAAACGAGGGTGATGAGATTGACACAGAGCTGCTGTGATATAAAGGGGTGTGTACAGGGCCCGACAGAGTATTCTCTCAAAAAGTGATGGTTAATCAGTGATGAGTGAAGCTTCTGAGGATAGATTATTTAGGCAGTCCATACGAACATATGCACATGCACACGCAGACACGCGCACACACGCCTTCCCTAAGGAATGTGTGTTTTTGTTTTAAGAGGGAATATTCATGAGATGAAAGTTTGGCCCCAAATGCTGAGGAAAAAAATGGAAATTATATATTTTAACAAAAAGACAAGAACAACTGTTTGGGATATAAACATGGGACGTATCTCAATCTCTTTGAAAATAAACAATCATGTGGCCGATAACTCCTTTCTAGATGACAAGCTGAGTATCTTACGGATAGCTGTCACTTCGTGCTCTTACTCAGAGATACCAAGCAGGTGGAGGGGCTTGTGGAGCACGGGGAAATTATTGGCCTTATCTGGACAATCCCAGCACCAAGGGAAAGGGTTCCCTCTCTGATCACTCCAGCAAACGCAAGTAGGATAACCAGCATGCATTCAAAGTGGAATACTGAACACCCCTTTTGTACAGGTGCCCTAGGTAATAATGAAGTCGATGTAAATATAACTTAAAACATATGGGAACATAGTAGGAATTCATTATTCTAAATATGTCTAAATGTGGATATTTTTCAGTAAAAAAAAAAAATGGGTCATCGCTGTTCTCTTATAGCAGCAACAAAGTAAACAAATGGTGAGATATAGGAACCATTTCAAGATCAGTCACTTTTTTTTTTTTTAAGGATTATTTATTTACTTATTTGACAGAGAGAGACAGCGAGAAAGGGAACACAAGCAGGGGAAGTGGGAAGGGGAGAGGTGGGCTCACCACTGAGCAGGCAGCCTGATGCGGGGCTCGATCCCAGGACCCTGGGATGATGACCTGAGCCGAAGGCAGAAGCTTAATCACTGAGCCACCCAGGCGCCCCAGGTCAGCCACTTCTAATCTAAAGGGTTTTGCTTGAGAAAACCTGAATTATTTCTACATATTAAGCAAATGGTTCTGTCTGCCATACTGTATACCAGTTCACTTGTCAAATGCTTTTAGAAATGTTTTGAAATGGACAAAGAAACATTTTCCTATCATTCCTTAGTACAATGACCTTCAAATTCATGGTGACAAATTTACATTCATTAAAAGAAGTACAACAACAAAACCAACCAGTTGTTGAAATAATCCTATCAATTCCTTTGATTCCTCCGCTCCCTGGATTCTGTTCTTACCTAGTTTAACTTCTGCATTCTCAGTCAGCAAGACATTCTGCCCTTTAATATCTCGATGAATCACTTTATGCTGGTGCAGATGACTCAGCCCCTGGAGTAACAGAGAGTTAAGAAGGGTTAAGGAGAATGTAAGCCAAGATGCAAATAAATTATTTGGGTTGTCAATGATCCCAAAAATATGTAAACTCACCCAGAGCTACTTTCTTTCTTTTCTTTCTTTCTTTTTGATACCTTCATTATCATACTCAGGTCTTCCACATGTGTATAGTGCTGCTCTAAACTAGGTAATTGATCAACATAAACTGAAATACAGAAGCAGTCTTTGCAATGTGCGCTGCTGTGTTAAATGAACTGCTTGCACATCAGCTGTGATCTAAGGTAGCAACGAACCCATGAGGACAATGATGTGGTTCTGGCATGCACGAGTTTTAGCTAACAGTACTATGAAAAGTGAGGACTGCCTGCATTTGCTAGTTTATAACAGGAACATCTATATAGTTTCCGTACGGAAAATTAACCTGATTTAACTAAGTCCTCCACTCTTTTTTTTTTTTAAGCAATATTAGAATTCAAGAGTTAAAAGTTGCTCACTAAATTCTACTCCTGAAACTAATATTGCACTATATGCTAACGCACTTGAATTTAGATTAAAAACTTAGTAGAAAAAAAAAGTTAAAGACTACATTGTATCATATAATTTTAATTAATCACAATCAAGTATTTCTCAGACCAGTCAAATCTCCCATTGCCTTTAGCCAATGTGGCTCATATTTTAAAAAAGAAAATAGCAGTTTCTATTTCCTTTGTTGACGTCTGTAACTGTCATCTTTAGTGCTTTACGAGATTTGTGACTTTGTGTTCATTGTGTGAAATAATTATTTGGTGACATCGAAACCTGTGTCCTGTTTCTCCATGAATTACTCTCTGTCTTATTTGCGGTGTGAGTTCTGAAATCTACGGACTTGCTCTAGGGTAGTGATATGTTTCTCAAAGTATAACCTAAAAAAACCTCAAATTGGAGTCTTGAAGCAAATTACGTTATGCTAACACTTGCTAATTCAACATACTATATACTCAATTAATGTCATTTTATTATTTATAATTGTCTGTACTTTTAATTTTCCTCCATAATGTTGAAACTCTGGCATGGAAAGATGAGGTTGACACAAAAAGAAACAAAACTAAATATCTGAATTCCTGTGTTGAAAAAACTCAGCATGAAAATTTGGATGCCCCCAAAATTTGATCCATGTATACATTCAGGAAGATCAGTAAACATAAACCGTGTAAGAAGCTGAACCACTTGTTTGGGTTTTAAAAAATTACCTTTCCTCTCTAGTCAGTTCAGCTCAAAGTAGGCATCAAGCAGAGTAAAATGTCTGGTTTTACAACATACTAACATCCCGTGAGTACTTAGAGGGACTGAAGATCTCCACATTCCTTCACCAGCACAGTGGTTGGAAGCAGGTACCAGAGCACATAAGTGAGCCAAACATTGTAGTTAATGAGATCATATGATGCAAGGAGAGTTATGTCTAAAATATCCTGTGATTGAATGTTTCTTCCAATGAGTCACCTTATCTCAAAGGCCAGTATCTTCTGGGAAAATGTATTGGAAGAAAATAATCAGGTACTAAGAGGTACTCATAGGTTGAGACATCCTGCTGCTTTCAGAACCCTGGAGAGCTCATGGCTGATCCCCAGAGTTCCCCATTCCTCACCAGAGCAGAAAGGTGTATTGCAGAAACAGCCATGGAGATCCAGCATATTCTTGGACTCACGGGGGCCTAAATAATGGCCTAAATAACCCCTTGTGCATTCTCTAAATGAGTGAAATCCTAAGTCAGAAATTCAACTGAAGTTTACACAAAAGCACCTCAACACTCAAAAATAAATGTCAGATTTGAAGGAGAGCAGCAACCATACCTCCTTGTTTCCCACTCAAATTCTGTCTTGGGCTCAGAAATCATTTTGCCCACCCCATGCCATGGAGGTTTTATCCTGTTTGCTCTTAAGAGCTTTATTTTTTGTAACTTTTATATTTATATCTCTAATCAAGCTAGAATTAATTTTTGAATATGGTATAAAGCAGGTATCAAGTTTCATGTTTTCCCATGACTCTTCAGTTGGCCAAGCACTATTTACTGAGGAGAGCACCCTTGCACCCATGCTTTGCAGTACTTCTTCTGCCATAAATCAGGTGTCCTGATAAAGTGAGTCTGTTCCTGGACTCTTGATTCTGTTCCCCTGGCCATTTGTCTATTCTTGTGACAATACCACTCTGTTTTATTTACTTAGTAGCTTTATAATAAGTCTCGCTAACTGGCAGCATAAATCCTCCAGCTGTCTTCTTCCTCTTCAAGATTGTCTTGCTATTCTTGGCAAGGAATCTTTAAAACTCACCTGTCCATATCCACAGCTATATCTAGAGGGATTTTGATGGGGAATTCATTGAAACCATGGATCAAACCAGGGAGAAATCACTTCTTCACAATATTTAGTATTCTTATCTGTGAAATGGTATATACCTCCATTTTATTAAGGTCCTCTTTAATTTCTCTCAGTAATATTTTGTGGCTTTCAGTGTAGAAGACATTCAACACCTTTCTGTAAATTTATTTCTAAGTATTTGACTTTTATGCTATTATAAATGTTATTTTTAAAGTTCACTTTCTGTTTTGTTTTGCCTAATGTGGTTTGAATATTTTTAATGTTTCCCATCCACCCGTCTATCCACCCATCCATCCATCCATCCATCCATTTGCAGCACATAATCTTTCTCTCAAAAGTGCATCTTGGACACATCATGAAAATAGTTTTAACTTTTATTCCCTTAGATTAAGAAGGAAGAGCTTATATATTAGATTGCCAAGCACATCTAGTAAGAATGCTCAGTGAACACACATTAGCCTCCAATCAGTAGCAAGAGATAATCCAACTAGTCTGACTGAACTAAAATATGACCAATTATTTTCTTCTCCCTGAATTGATCTCAGTAAATATGACACTATTGTCCAGATTGCCTGATTGAGATCAGTGGGCAAAACTGGACAGACATAGTCTTGTCCAGCTATTTTGATCAGCTTAACTGACAAACTCAAATAATTTTTTTTTTTAATTTAAAATCAGTTAAACTAGATTCTATATGCTAAAATGATAAATGTCATGTAATCCTTAATCTCGTTATAAACTTTCACAAATGGAAAATTCAGATGGAGTGATCAAAATACCTCTAAAAAAGTCATTTCCTAAGTGAGACCTTATCTCTTTGATCTAAAATCAGATTTCTAATTGGAAATATCATGGGAAATGAATCCCTTGGTAAGGGAAGTCACCCAATGTTAACCCTCTAAATGAGAGTGCACATAGCCTGTTCAGAATGGCTCTCGCCTTCATGGGAGCAGACCCTAAAACTACCACTACCACCATCACTGTTAGAGTAAAGCTTTAAACATGTCTGCAATACTTTTGTGAATGTCGGCAGAAGGTTGGTACAAAGTTCAACGCCTCCCAAAAGACTCTGTGTTGTCACTTACTCGTAAGATCTCCCTGCAGATGTATGCAATCCACTCCTCCTTCAAGGTGTTACCTTTCGTGTTCTTGATCAGGTCAGTGACAGAGCCAGCACCACAAAACTCCATCACCAACTGGCAAAGGAAGCAAACATGCCATGATTATAATCACACTTCATAGCTTTCACTGGGTTAAGAAAGCCTAAGTTATTCCAGTTGGCTGCTTTAGAATGCCGTTCCTTTAAAAAAGAAGTGATCAAACAACAGTATAGAAAACATAAACTTGTATCTTAATTTTTTCCAAATGATAGAAAAGAAAGATTATTTTTTAATTTTCCAATCTAAAAATTATAATTGGAAATTGAGGAAAATCCCCATATTCTAAGTATTTTTTTTAAATGAGGGAAGCTAGGTGGTTCAGATGTAGTTGAGAATATCTCTGTGTTTTTATCCAGCAATTGATCTCATCTTTCCTACAAAAGTGTATCATTCCCCTGTCTCAAAGAACTATGGTTTTCTAGGCAATCTGACGTTAGGACAATAAAGTATACACTGTTTATGCTATTGGTTTGTAAGTGACACTGTAAACTGTCAGAATGGGGACTGTTTTTAATTAACTTCAGCAAATGTTCACAGGAGGTTAGACACATCAAATAAATTCAATAGACAATAAGCCTTAATTTAGCACCTTTCATCCAAAAAGCTTCAAGTTCTCTATAAATATAAACTCATTACAGCACTCAAGCAACTTTATCAAACAGGCAGAAAATAATCACCTCTCTTATTTAATGGAGAAATAGAGACAAGAAAAGGAAAAGCAATTCATTCGATTTTATATTCATTTTCTAGCATTAAGAAACATTCATTTTCTTACTTTCTCCCTTTTCTTCAAAAAAATAGAAATAAGAAAGGTCTTCAACAAATGGCATCTTATTATTAAGTACTTATTTTTTTGTAATTATATGATAAGAATTCAGAATAACTAGCAATCAATCTCTGACCAGACACTAGAAACAACTAAAGTGGACCCACAATGAAATCACATTGATGGTTTTGGCTTTGTCCAAATGTACATTCTTAACATCAACACCATGTATGCCTAGTAGAAACTCAGTGAAACTCATGAAGTGAGTTTCCTGAATGAGTTTCCAGTGCCTTTTCTGACTGGTCTAATGATTCCACAAAAGGTAGGGAAACCCTACCATCTTCTCGAGACTACCAGCGGGAGTAAAGAGACTTCTCAGGACTTTTTGTAAGGAAATTTAAGAAGTACCACAATATACCATACTGCAACCCAGTAAGAGTTGTAAAATGATCACATGTGATAGTTAGGAAGCTATCAAAGACCATAGGTCATGTTAGAAAGAACTCAAGAATCAACCTGAAGAAGTTCTCACTGGCCAAAGATGGGAAGATTTGAGCATCGATAAGAATAACGACTGCAATGGCTTGAAACACATTAAACTTACCCAAATGCATTAACAAACTGATAAGCGGAGGGAAAGAATCAAGAATTTGTATTGCGATTCTTAGACCAATTTTAGCACTGGATAATTTGGTAATTAAAAGGGGCAAATCTTCTCTTTATAAAATGCAGGCATTCCATGTAATAAATGAAGAGGACATAATAGAATCAAAATATCACTATTTTATAGTCCCTGACAAACTAATGAATTTAAGCACTGATTCTCAATGGCTGTTAACATAATAAACATAAGAAGTAACCAGACATTATTTGCTTCTTGATTAGCATAATAACATCACCTAAGAAGTAGCCTTGCCAGAAACAAACAAATAACAAAAAACAAACCAAAAAACCCTAGAATCTGATCAAGCATCTGGTTCCAACTACCAAATTACAGAAAATTCAGAGGACTGAGGAACATGTTACCTCATGGGGATACAATTTAGAAAACCTAGAACAGGAGACTCCACAGGGCAAATGACCCATTTACTTCAACAAATAAATTGCAAGAAGGAAAAAAGAAGATGGAGGGGATATTTATAGACTTAAAAACATTAAAAAGATATACCAACAATTTGCAAGGGATGTGACTTATCTGGATATGAATTTTTTCCCCCAAAGCTCTTAAAATTTTGGAGGCAATTAAAGCTTTGAATACAGACTAGATATTTGATTATACCAAAGAAACATGAGGGTTTTTGAAAGTGTGATTTTTAATGGTACCGTGGTTATGTAAAAAAAGAGTTCTTTTTATGTTTTTTAAAGATTTTATTTATTTACTTGACACACAGAGAGACATCACAAGTAGGCAGACAGACAGAGAGAGGGGGAAGCAGGCTCCCTCCTGAGCAGAGAGCCTAATGTGGGGTTTGATCCCAGGACCGTGAGATCATGACCTGAGCCGAAGGCAGAGGCTTAACCAACTGAGCCACCCAGGTGTCCCGATACCCAACTTTTCTATCAACATGGATGGGACTGGAAGAGATTATGCTGAGTGAAATAAGTCAAGCAGAGAAAGTCAATTATCATATGGTTTCATTTACTTGTGGAGCATAAGGAATAACACAGAGGACATGGGGAGATGGAGAGGAGAAGTGAGTTGGGGGAAATCAGAGGGGGAGATGAACCATGAGAGACTTAGACTCTGAGACTCTGAGAAGCAAATTGAGGGTTTTGGAGGGGAGGAGGGCGAGGGGTTGGGTGAGCCTGGTGGTGGGTATTAAGGAGGGTACATATTGCATGGAGCACTGGGTGTGGTACATGAACAATGAATTTTGGAACAGTGAAAAAATAAAATAAAATTACAAAAAAAGAATATATAAAGGATACTTACAGATCAACAATAAAAATAAAAATAACATAATTTTAAAAATGAGCAAAAGGCTTGAATAGACATTTTTCCAAAGAAGATATACAAATAACCAACAATTACATGAACTGATGTCCAACATCAATAGTTCTTAGGAAAGTGCAAATCAATGGGATAATCAGGTGATGCGCATTAAGGAGGGCACGTGATGTGATGAGCACTGGGTGTTACGGGCAGCTGATAAATTGTTGAACACTATATCTGAAACTAATGATGTACTATATGTTAGCTAATTGAATTTAAATTAAAAAAGGGAAAGTGTAAACCAAAAATCACAATAAGATAACACTTTACACCTACTAGGATAGTTACAGTTAAAAAAAAAAAGGCAGAAAATAACAAACGTTGCCAAAGATGTGGAGAAATTGCAACCCTTATATACTGCTGGGGGGAATGTGAAATGTTGCAGTCACAGACAGTTCGATGGTTCCACAATAGGTTAACACAGAACTGCATTATGACCCAGCCAGTCCACTTCTGGGCATATGCTCAAAAGGATTGAAAACAAGTATTCAAACAAAAACTTGCAACTGAATGTTCAAAGCACCAGTATTCACAATAGACAAAAGGTGAAACTAACCAAAATGTCCACTATCAGATGAATAAACAGAATGTGGTATATCCATATAATAGAGTATTATTCTGCTACGGAAAGGGAGGCCAAAGCGATGCCTGAAACAACATGGATGACTCTTGAAAATATTACACTCATTGAAAGAAGGACCAAAAAGGCTACGTACTGCATAAATGCATTTATATGAAATACCCAGAAAGCAGAGGAGTGACTGCCAGGCACGAGGGGGAGGGAAGAATGGTGCTGAAGGGGTACAGAGTTTTCTTTTGGGGTGATGGAAAAGTTCTGGAACTAGATAGTGGTAATGGTTGCACAATACTATGTACTTAAGGCCACTGTACTATATATTTTAAAATGGTTAAGATGCTAAATTTTATGTTATACATACTTAATCAGAATTTAGAAAAAGTGAGATGAGAAGATTGGTTTCAAAATAATAGTAGAAGGGGAGAAGGGGGTGAGCATGTGTTTGGGGCAGGATGGGTGGTAGTTGGGCTAGTTTGGGGCACATCGGTGTCCATTATATTGTTCTCTTTACTGTCGTGTGTTTGGGGGATTCTCTATAACACAGAGTTAAAGAAAATCCTATTATGTAGTGACAGGCAGCAGGCTGACCAAAGGAACATCCTTGCATAGAAAGAAAATATCTTCTCCAATGAGCAAAATATGTTTGTGCCCCTTCTCAAATCCCGTTTTGAAGGAACACAGTGACCAGACCTCCCACAAATGCCTCCGTTGCACGTCTATCAGCTGGAGAACACGTCTCACCACTGAGCCCCATTAGGCCACGTAATTATAGTTCCCAAGGAAAGCAGTGGAAGCCCAGTGGCTCCGGTCTTTTAAAATTAGATTGGACAAAATACTTTCAAATATTCAGTAGGAAACAATCCGGCCCTAGCCAGGCACTAATGTCAGTGATTTCTATAATTTGCTTCTCTATTCAGCTCCAGCTGAAGGCTGCTAAAGTCTTTTCATCTCACTACAGAACGAAATGATTGTTAAATTATGTAATGGGATTTAAAAAAAGAGAGAGAGAGAGAGCAAGGAAGAAACCAGCATTTGCCAGCAACTGGATCTTGGAGCCGCATAGCAACTCAGATAATTACCTCCACCAAGCAGCAAGGACCCTCCCTCGCCACAAGTAACCTCATCACATTAATAAACAGAAACAGGGCTCAACATGCCAAGCCCAGCAGCGGTAAGTCAATAACTTCCCATCCCACAAGCAAGAAATGATGGATCATTAATGTTCTCCCCAAAAGAAAGTTCTCAAAGAGGTGGCACTGGGGCAACACTACTTGCTTACATTTACTGAGAATTTGCCATGTGCCAGGTGCTGGGCTCAGTGATTTGCAGCTACTGTTTCATTAACTCTCTTTCCCTTCAATTCCCTTTTCCTTATTTACTTGGAAATGGAGCTTAGTTATGCAGGTATGCAGCCTTATCCGGAGTCTATATACTCATTAAGTATGTAGTGCAGGGGTGAAAGCATGATGCTCTCTCAAGTATTAGTTGTGTGACCTTGGGCATGCCTGTTCTCTAACCTCCCTGGACTTTGTACCCCACCCCCACCACTGTAAAATGCAAAATAAAATAAAATAAAACAAAAAACATGTTTGATGTGAATATTGTGTGTCCGTGAGTGTAAAACTCCTAGCAGCCCCAAATCTTAAACTATACTTATTACTTATATCTTAAACTATATTTATTACTTTTTATCTATTGCT